ACTAACCCAGAAGAATAATGGTTTCTCAGGAATGCGCTTTGTTCTCCGTCACTCGTGGAGCGTGTAGTGCCGGCCCGGCTTATTTATGGCTGCGTTAGATTCTGGAGGTTATAACAACAAAGAAACCTCTTCTGTATATTGTACGGAGGAGGGCGACCCCGCCGAGCTGCTACTTCTCTATCGGGAAACACACCGGGAGGTCAGAAGTTGTCATTTTCCTAAAACGGTCTGAAAGTCAAATACTGACGCCGGCTTCTCCCATAAATCATTATAGACCCGGGCGGGTTGTTGCTGCCCCACCGGAGAGGACATTCCGACTGCTCAGGTATATAACATGTACAGAACTTCCTTCTTATTGTTACAATGTTATAAGAACACATAAAACATGAGAATACCGGCGCCGCACGCTTCCCACGAACAGTAACGCGTCACATGTAACGCTTCTCAAAATCAATACTTTACACTATTATTATTATTATACGGGGTTTATATGGCGCCAACAGTGTGCACAGCGCTGTACAATATAAGGAAGACATTACAATACAATTCAAGACAAGATGGTGAGGAGGGCCCCGCCCCTGAGGGCTTACAATCTAAAAGGGGAGGGGCCAGTGATACATGAGGAGGGAGCTGTGTGGGGATGAATGGTTGAGCGGTTAGGTTGAGGTGGGATCGGCTTCCCTGAAGAGATGAGTCTTAAGGGATCGCCTAAAGGCAGTCAGAGTGGGAGATAGACGGACAGGTTGGGGTAAAGAGTTCCAGAGGATGGGAGACACTCTAGAGAAGTCCTGGAGGTGAGTATGGGAGGAGTTGACGAGGGAGCTGGAAAGCAGGAGGTCTTGGGAGGAGCGGAGGGGACGGTTAGGGTGATACTTTGAGACGAGGTTGGAGATATAGCCGGGGGCGGAGTTGTGGACGGCTTTGTAAGTGGTTGTTAATATTTTGAATTTTATCCTTTGGACTATTGAAAGCCAGTGCAGGGATTGGCAGAGAGTGGTGGGGGATGGAAGCCAGTGCAGGGATTGGCAGAGAGGGGTGGAGGATGGAAGCCAGTGTAGGGATTGGCAGAGGGGGGCGGGGGATGGAAGCCAGTGT